ATTCGAATATTGTTATAGTGACTGCATTAAGCTTTCAAAACAATCTGATAGTACTACGTTGAAAACAAACTGAATAAATATACTTGTACAATGGAGCTTTTATTTAGTATCTGCATATAATTGAAGAAGAAATATGTTGTAGACACCATAAAAAATAATAACTGATGCCTAGTTGTTGTTGTCAAGTGCAAGTGGATTTGAATAATTATTCATTCATTAAACAACATTTATTTCCGTAAATGTTAAATATTTATAGTAATCATTATTATAACAAGAATATATGTAAATAAATTAATAATATGAAAAACGATTAACTAGGATCTTTAATGGCAGATAAAAATATCTTTTCACGTAGGATACTCACAGAAACAACATAATTTAAATAAAAATATTAAAAAGGCACCTTATACGCCATGCTTAAAATATTGGAACCACGATTCAAAAAAATATTAATGCAAATGCAAGGTCAATAAACAGACTTAGCGTGTCACTTGCTATGTACTAAAATAGCAATTGTTTGTATCCACCCTTTAGAATTTTGTGCACCACCCTTAAAATTTTGAGGACATTTTCTGAAATTTCCCCATTCTTTAAAAATCCTAGTGAAAGGGTTGCCATGGGGTACATAAGACAATGAAGAGGGTAAAAACAGTTCCATAATAAAAAATACTGTCCCTAAAGATAAAACGACAAAAGAATTCCCCTTAAAATATGTTTTAAATGTAGTAGTAGTATCCGACGACAAGCAATCAAGAAAAAACTAAACTGGAACAACTCTCTCTCGACACGAAATGTTCAGTGTATCATAGAAACGTTTAAATACCTGCCTCTGACCCAAGGGCGTCGATCCGTGGCTGAAAGTGGGGGGACGAGACGAGATGAAAAATAAAGCCTTGGGCCGTAGGCCCAAGCAATGGTTGGGGACCAGGGGGCGATAGCCCCGGAAGCTCTGGCGCATATAGCTTTTTAATTGATTTTAAGCAATGCAGTTAACATTTATTTCCATACGAAATTTTAAAGAAGAATTTGAAATAGAGCTGGGCCCAGAGAGGGACTTTTAGAGATGGAAAGTGTAGCTGGACTACCACCTCAGCCCCACCATGGTTGGGGCTGGGGTAAGAAAATTTATGATTATGACACCTCTAGATTGCCGGAAATGGCACTCTCAGACCTAAATTCTAATTCTAATTTTCCTTTGTTTTTTTCCATTTAAAAACAATAATTTTGAAAAAATTAGGGCCCACTTGAATCTGCCACTGATTATTATGGCGTCATTCCGAGACTGCGTCAACGTAACACTGGAGTTTGTAAACCTTTGGTAGGCTTATCACTTAATCGAAATAGGTGGACATCATATCCGTGAAATTAGAAAAAACAGTAATCCTTTGTATGTAGATAATATTAAACACTAGTATATACGTACGGGTCATAATAATATACAAAAAGTATAAATAGTTTATATTAGAAATTGTGCACTTTTGAGTTTGTAAAAATATTGGCCTAATAAGGATACATGCTTCCAATTTCAACAACGTTCAGTACATTGTTTTCACAATAAATTTAGCCTCTGATAGTCGTTGCACCCATAAAATCAATCGATCTAGTGGGTTTTTGAGATGGTTACAAAATGTTCAAACAATTGCGTTTTTATTTGGTTTGGTCCGGAAAATACGTACCGCACTTAGAAAAGTGAACAGACAAAATTCATGAGTCATGCGTAATTGTTATTCTTTCCATTCGCTTGTAAAAGTGGGGTTTTAATTATAGAAGATTGGTGAAAAGTGGGGGGGGGGGACAATCGATACCATGTCCCTCCCCCACTTTGAAAAGTAGGGGGACGCGTCCCCCCTGTCTCCCACCAATCGACGCCCATGCTCTGACCACAAGCAATCAAGACAAGACTAGACAAGAACGATTCGCTCGAATAAATTTTAGTTTATTAGTTTATTTACAAACATTCAAATACCTCTGACCGCAAGCAATCAAGGAAAGACAAGACAAGAACAAACCCGCGCGACACGAAAAGTTTAGTGTATTATACAAACGTTGAGACCGCTACACAACGGCCTTTGCTTCGAGATTTGAGCATGAAGGCAAGGCAAAAGCAGCTTTCTTAGCTACCTTTTTGTTCGCTGATCGGTTAAAAAACGTATATCATTTTTATTGAAAAACAACTACCTTAAAATGTTTATCTTTAAAATTAATGATGTTCCCCTGATTGGATTTTTCAGACTTTTAGTATGTTATTATGTGTATATTTTAGGAACAAATTCTGTAAAAAATATTTCTGTTGCAATTAGTTCTAGGTCCACTATGATTTTGTCATAGATTGACTGGACTATATTATTCGGTGGAAATTTCCGTGAGGATGCGCCATCCGCCATGCGCTTGAGTAGGAACGAAATCGCGTGCGTTACAAAGCGCAAGGTCGTCGTTAGCAACGCAAAAGTAAAATGTTCTAAATAATTCAAAATCGATCACTGTGGTTACAAACAGACAGGCAGTTATCTAGGCGGTTATCTAGGCTAGGCCTATAGTTAAAACTCAACAAGTAAGTAAGCAAAGTCAAAAATCTCCGTTTCACGGGTTTTTTTTAAATTTTTTTCCTTAAATTAAAATGGAGAGGGAATACTTTGATCCATGGCCATTCTATCCAAGTGCTTTTATGGATGGAGAATATGAGGCCACAAGATTGGACTCAACGCAATCCTCACATAGTCTACTGATTGATCTCACCTCTGAGAGTTTGGAGTGTGCTAAAAGAGTACACGAGGTTCTTGGAAAGTCTAAGCAGATTTACAAACAAGCGAGGCACGCCATGACATTAGCAAGAAAGGCGTTCCTGGAGGCGGAAGTAGTTGCAACGATTGCTAGAGATGCCTCAGCGCGATGTTCAACCCTGGTAGAAGCCATTATGAAAGATCAAAAGCTACTTACAGAAGACCAGGTGTATAGGTCTGCGTCTCCAGAGGCAAAGCAAAGTCTCCACATCGAAGAGTTTCAACAAGTTCTTGACTTTGGTAGCTTGGCAAGACAGGGGGTGATCCTAAGTCCAAGCTCGTTTGATAATGATGTATCATTAGAATCGATTTTAGTCGGAACAGAACAGCGGAACTCACGAAACGTTGCTTGTCAGTCAATGTCGTGCGACGTACAGGATTCGATCTGTCAAACTGATGGAAACCTTGAAGAAAAAGCTGTGTCTTCGCAAGAAATGCAGACGTTTAACTTCAGTGAGAAAAATCGAGATTGCGCAAGACAATCGATGTCGTCAACAGAAAGTGGCGAAATATGGAGACGACGGGAAAACATTCCACCGACGATACAACAATCGTCTGAGGATTTCCTCGAGCGACTATGTTGTTCACTGCCAACTGTGAACGAAGATAGCCGAACGGAAGCTAAATCCTCTAGACCTACACCTGCTTCAGATTCTGATCGAAATGGTAAAATTGCTCGGCGGCAGCAACC